GGTTGTGGGCCCGATCCCCAGTGTGGGGCATGCAGGAGATGGCCAATTGATGTTCTCTCTCATTGATGTTTCTCTCTCTCTCTCCCTCTTACTTCCTCTCTCTCTAACATCAATAAAGGGGAAAAAAATTTTTTTAAAAAGATAACTCAATCTTTAAAAAAATAAAATAAGCCCTGGCCGGTTTGGCTCAGCGGTTGGAGCGTTGGCCCGTAGACCAAAGAGTCCAGGGTTCGGTTCCCGTTAAAGGCACGTACCTCGATTGCAGTTTGTCCCCAGCCCTGGTTGGGGTCATGTGGGTGGCAACCACTCGATGTGTCTCTCTTACATCGATGTTTCTCTCTCTTCCTCCCTCTCTCCCTCCCACTCTATCTGAAGATACATGCAAAAAATGTCCTTAGGTGTGGATAAAAAGAAATAAATAAATAAAAATAAAAATTGAAATAAAAACTTTACTGTTTGCTGCTAACCACTTGCAGGTGAACAGTTGGAAAATTATGCATAGCAAAATTTCCTTCCCAAAATGGTAAGAGAAGTGTACTGGGTTGAATAGTGTTTCCCCCAAAATCATGTCCACCTGGAACCTGTATTTGTCCTGAACCTGGAAATAATGTATTTGCAGATGTAAACAAGTTAAGATTAAGTCATACTGGATTAAGGTGGGCCCTGATCTCCTTATAAGAAGAGAGAAATTTGGACACAGATACAGACAAACGGAAGGAGGCAGGAACTGGAGTGATACATCTACAAGCCAAGAAAAGCTAAGAATTGCAGGCAACCACCAGAAGCTAGGAAGAGGGAATGAAGGATTCTTCCCTATATTTTCTTTAGAAATATCATGGCCCTGTGGATGCCTTGACTTCAGACTTCTAGCCTCCAGACCTGTAGAGAATCAATTTATATTATTTTAAGCTACCCAGTTTATGGTAATTTGTGCAGCAGCCCTAGGAAACTAATACAGGAAGCATATGGAAAAGAGGGTCAGTTGAGCAAATGTGTATTTTAAAACACTTGGTTTAACTTTCATACTCTCTTCTAGGCCCCATCTAGGAATCAAAGTTGGACGAGCAAATATGAGCTGATCCTTCACTTGTGGAAATTTGCACAGTTGCTGTACATTCAGTCAAACTAAAAAACAGAGGAAAAACATTTAGTCATTCCACTATAATGACAATTCTCAGAACTTTCTGAGACTGTTAGATCAGCACTATCATTTTATCAAAGTTGATGATCCTGCAGTTTTCACTGACTCCACAGACATTTTCTGATTCTAGTTTCTGCTCTGTTGTAAGAATACAAGCATCTGTCATGAGCTCTCCTCCTCACAGATAATGAAGTTCATAAAACAAAGGCGATAAAGAGGCAGGTTGTGATCACACTCCTTTTTGTCTGATTCCTGTGTACTTTTGTTGATAGTAGATTTCTATTAGAAGGTCCCCATTTCTTTCAGAATTATCTATCCATTCACTCATTTATTCAGGAAATGGTACTTACTTTTGAATGAGTAGGCCCAAATCGGGTGTGTGTGGGGGAGTTTATAGTTCGGTAATCAAAAGAAAAAAAAACACGTCATGTATAAAATACTATATATTAGAAAAGAGAAACAGAAAAGTCTCACAAGATTTCCAATGAGGAGAATGAAGCTCAAGGAAGTGAACTAGCTCGCTAGAGTTCACACACTTTGTTAACTGTTAGAACTGAGATTTATTTCTCTTACATTTGATATCAGATAGACTAAATGGAGGGACTGAGAGTCAAGCCTAGTTCAGGATGGTACAAGTTTGTGGTTTTCTACACTACACCATGCTGCCTCCCATAGGCTACTGCTTTAGTTATCTGAGAGGCAAATGGAACTGTACTAGGTTATTAGCGATAAAAATTTAAAAAGTAAGGGGGTAAAGGCAAGAAATAAATGCAGGGCCCACAATTACCATGATGTGGCAATTAACTACATGTGGAAAGAAAGGAAGAGAGTGGAATTAAAGGTGGCTTAAGCTTGGAGCCTGAGTAATTACAAAAAACACTGATGCTATTAGCAAGATTAAGGATCTCAGGGAAAGGGACCGTTTTTTTGTTTTTTTCCTCACCTGAGAATATTTTTCCATTGCTTCTTAGAGAGAGTAGAAGGGATGGAAGAGAGAGAAAGAGAGAGAGAGAGACAGACAGACAGACAGAGACAGAAAGAGAGAGATCTGTAAGAGAGACACATCAACTGGTTGCCTCCTGCATGACCCCAACCAGGGCTGGGGATCGAACCTGCAACCCAGGCATGTGCCCTTGACCTGGCAAATGAACCTATGACCCTTCAGTCCATGAGCTGATGCTCTGCTAAGCCAAACCGGCCAGAGCAAAAGGGACAGTTTTTATTCAGTGAGAACTGTAATTCAAAACTCTGCTCTCATGTCATCTCCTCAATGTAAGCTTCTCTGACATCTTCAGGTCCATTATACAGTATTTTGTATCTCAACAACAAAAATAATAATAATGACTATGATAATGATAGCTAACATTTTTTAAAATGCAGGCTGAGTGCCAAGCATATGCTGGGTCCCTTTTACTCCTCAAAATAACCATATCAAGTCAGTACTATTATGAACCCTATTTTACAGATGAGGTAACTGGGGCTTACAGAGTCTTAAGGTTGCACATCATAAATGGCAGATCAAAATTTGAATCAAAAACACCACTCTTACCAGAGGCAGAAAGTGCAGTACATAAGAGTACAGGAGCCCTGGCCGGTTTGGCTCAGCGGTTAGAGCGTCCACCTGCGGTCCGGAGAGACCCAGGTTCGGTTCCCGCTAAGGGCATGTACCTCAGTTGCAGTTTGTCCCCGGCCCTGGTTGGTCGTGCGGGTGGCAGCCACTCGATGTGCCTCTCACATCGATGTTTCCCTCTCTCTCTCTTCCTCTCTCTCCCTCCCACTCTGTACAAAAAATGGAAAAATGTCCTCGAATGAGGATAAAAAATAAATAGATAAATAAAGAGTACAGGAAAAGGCATCAAACTGGCTGGATTTGAATCCTGCTCTGCCATTTACTAGCTGAGTGACCTTGGGCAAATTATTGTGCCTCAGTTTCACCATCACCATATCATTTGTTAAATGGGGATAATAATAGTATTTGCCTCCCAGTGTTATTGTGAAGTTTAAACAGATTCATATTCATAAAACATTTCAAGAAGTGCATGATACACAGTAAATATTAACCACTGCACTCACACCTCTGTTCTCTCTCTCTCATTAGAACTTTATTTCTCACTGAACTGTGAGCTCTCCTAGGATAGAAAGTGTGTCTGTTTCATTTTCCTATGCCCAGCACCTAGCACCATGTCTGCCACATAGTAGGCCCTCAGGAAGCATTTGTTGCCTGACTGGCATTATTCAGGCAGCCTGAAATTTCATCTCTGAGCCATGGAGAAGAGAGGTGAATGGAAAAAATAGGTATGAGCCCCAGGTTTAACATAGACAGTTAAACCTGACAGTAGGTGGGATTGCTAAGGGAGAGATAGGGAGGGAAAAGAACTAGAACACTGGAGAAAGATTGACAGCAGGAGCTGAAAGGAGACAGAAAAGGAACTCTGGAGGATATACCTGCAAGGAAGCCATGAAAAGAATGAGTTCAAGGGAATTGAGCTGAGTCCGGATGAAAGGCTGTCTGTCTTAAAGGTGGAGTATGAAAATTTGTGGTTAGCAAGCAGCTGACTCTGAGGTTAAAGTGTTGTTGATTTTTTAAGACTCAGAGGAAGGAAATGACTGTCATTGCGTAATAGTTTTCTAAAACTTGGCAGGCTTTCAAATGTGGGTCTCTATCTACCTTGCCTGGAAAGTTGAGAGAGCAAGGGAGCATTTAAAATCACAAGTAAAAGGGAGGGTCTGGGGCTCTCCAAGGTGCTACTTCTCAACGAAATCGTACTGCAGTTCAGTTCTATCTTCACCCACATTGTGAAATAGCAAAATAAAATAAAATGTGTATTTTTGCCCTTTGTATTTTGTTTAGGGTGGTACAGCAGGATCGATGATGTGATGGTCAGGTAGATAAAATTATCAGCATCGGGTTTTTTCTGAAATGTCTTCCTCATTATACTTGAATCTCAATAATGTTCTACCACCCACGGAGACTGAATAACTGGTTTTCCGAGTTTTTCCTGATACAGTTCTGGTTATTACAAATGACTTGCGACTCCTACTCCTCTTTAAAAGAAGGGCAAGAAGGAATCAGGATCAATATTTGAGAAAGGCGTTTTAATAAAAACAGGTATCACGTGCATTAAAAAAACAAAAACAAAACAAGATTTTCTTTTAAAATTTTTGACTAATAGAAAACCCGTAGGTGGTCAGATGGGCCCACAGGAATCTACCAAACAAGTTACAAATATACTTTCACAAACACGGTGTTAGGGTTTTTTTCCTCATTGTCCATTCTGGGAAAATAGACCCTGTGCAGTTGCTGGAGGGACTAAACCAAGCACCTTTTTAAAGAGGGGTTTTCCATAGTCAAATGACGAGCCCCTGTTCAAGGCTCTGCTACAGGATCTAGCACCTTTCGCAAGTCTCTCCGCACTCTAGGGCTCAAATGTTCTTTTCTGTAGACTAAGGGGTAAAGTGTAAGTGTAAGAATGTGTGTGTGTGTGTGTGTGTGCAAGCTCCCCTCCAGCTCTCACGTCATTTCATAATGATTTCTCCCCTTCCTTCATGCTACTTCCCTCGAGGAGAAAAAGGTGTGAAGTCTTTGGATATGAAAATAAAGAAAGCTGACAGCCTCGCCTGTAGCATAAGTGTTAAAGAGAAAAGGGACTCTGAAGAGCTCCAGCACCTGCACCGCCAGCCCCACCCACCGGTTCTTCCCGGCCCGGAGCCGCCGCAGGGGGAACAAGATGGCGTCAGCACACAGGGTCACGCTTGAGCCCCGGCGTCTCCGCACTGCGGCTGCCGACCAAGGCCGCACCCCATTGGCCGGCTGCAAAGAGTCATCTTAGGGGCGGAGGCCGGCGGCGGCGCAGGGGCGGGGCTTTGCAGACGCAAGCACGTCGAGGCGCTGCAGCCTAGAGCCGCGGAGGCTGCAGGCTGGGTCTGCGGCGACTTCTTTGGTAGTGGCCCCGCTGGCGGCTGGAGGTGAGCGGGGGCTGTGTGTACAGCGCGGTAGGGAGCGGCCTCCGAGGGGCCCAGGAAATCCTTTAACAGCCGCCTCGCTTGTCAAAGGAAGTAGCAGGGATCTTAGGTCTCTGAAGGAAATGGGGGTTCACTCCTCTTTAGGCACCCCTCCCGTGGGCAGAAGAGCCGGAGGTTCACACCCCTTTGGAGGCCCTGATCCCTTCCCCCACTTAAGGAGGAGGAGGAGGAACTGAAGGTTATTGGAATGTTTGAAGAATTTGGGATGTTCGAAGAATTTGGGGGGACTTTTTAAAAGGGTCCCAATTTAAGGTTTCCCCCCCTTTAAGTCCCTACTCCAGGAGGTAGGTGTGCCTAGGCTCTCTGGATAGACAGGAAATGAAGCAGGTGAATCCTAAATACCTCATTAGGAGTCAAGGACTGGATGACAATGAGATACTGTAGTGTTCGGGACGCTCTATTTGGATTCATCTTGTGCAGAATTACTGTTTCTTTATTCTGTTTATTGTCACACACACACACACTATCCCCCAATCGCTCTGGCCTATTTGGTTTTCTATTTAACTCCAGTCAGAGAGATGTTCTAGGAGATTTGTAATTGTTTAAAAAACAGGAGGAAAGCAACTCATTGGGGTTGTCATTATTGGCAGCCCCCGAACTGTGCTGATCAGACATATTTTTATGTGTTTAGAGATTGTGGACTCTATCCCATAACTGAGGAGTGATGTGTGTTGGGTGTTGATAATAGCTGTTTTGGATGATTCAGGTATAGACAGTCATAAAGTCAACCTACATAATCTCTTAAAAATCCTTGGTTATATCTGAGTGTGTTGTTCTGCTGTCTGGAACATCAAATGCACAAAGGTTTGTCATTCGATTTTCTCAAAATGTCTCCCAGCCTTTCCGAAGAGTAACTCTTCATTTGATGCCCGTTTTACCTATCATTATGGATGCTGTCATGATACTAAAAATACTGTATGTTTTGCTGAGTTTAGATACTGTACAGTCTGTGCCTCACAATAGCTGATTGAGAATAAATAATTGCAGTTTCAGGACCACTGATAGCGCCACGTCTTTCTTAACGCGGCAGTGATAAGACTACCCGAAACCTTTATTAACTCATGAATGAGAAGCTTTAACAGATGATGGAACAATGTAATCTTGAAGGTGGGGATAAGAAACAGAAGAAAACTTGGGAGATGGAAAGCTTATTCTCTGTGGCTTGATAAAACTGCTTTGTCATTATCATTGTATTCCTGTCATGCTTGACTTGAAATTGAGCTTAATATGCAAGCTGGTTCCTTTTTTTTTTTTTTTAAGATAATGATTATGTATTTAGATTTTTCAGTGAAAAAATGATGCTTTTGGAGGAATTTGGAATGTTTAACCCTTTAAGGTAGTCATAGCTTTAGAGTAGTGCTGGGACTCTTTGAAGAAATGGGCAGTTGCTCTGGTCAGGTGGCTCAATTGTCCTATACACCAGAAAGGTTGTGGGTTCAATTCCCAGTCAGAGCACATACCTATGTTGTGGGTTTGATCCCTGCTCAGGACAGGTACAGGAGGCAACTGATCTATGTTTTTCTCTCACATTCGATGCTTCTCTCTGTTTCCCTCTGGTAAGGATAAAAAAATAAAAAAGAAATGGGCCTCCCTGGCCAGTTTGGCTCAGTGATAGAGCATCGGCCCGTGGACCAATGAGTCTTGGGTTCAATTCCAGCCAAGGGCACATACCTCTGTTGCGGTTTGTCCCTGACCCTGATTGCAGGAGGCAATGAGTCAATGTTTCTCTCTCTCTCTTTTTCTCTCCCTCCTACTCTATCTGAAGATAAATAGAAAAAATATCCTCAGGTGAGAATTAAAAAAAGAAAGAAAGAAATGGGCAGTAGAGCGTAGAAAATGAGTGAGGGCTCTTCTGTTTCCTGACACAAGTGGAAAACAAGATAGAGCAGTGTGAATATCACTGCCTCATAATATAGTGTCCAGAGTATTAAAAAGCTGTTTGGAATTCCCAGTTTCTATTTTTAATATGGATACATTCTTATGTATTGAGATATCCCAAAATATTGTCATTTGATCCTGGTGTTGACTACAAAGGAAGTGACTTTTCATCAGGCACTCTGTGGGAGAGGATTCAGTGACAACAGCCTTTGCAATTTCTCCTTTCCATCTTTCTAAGCAAGATGTCAAAACAGTTGTTAAGGACCTGTCAGCATGAAGTGGAAAACATGAAATGCATAACGGAAGTCTTACTGGGTGTTGTTTGCTGTTAGCCCTCTTAATAATTCTCAGGGTTGTGTAATTTTCTCTTTTTTGCTTTAGGTTGGAGAGAAATCCAAGTACTCGGTTGATGTACTTTCTGCTGCAATGGGGGAGCTTTTCCGGAGCGAGGAGATGACACTGGCTCAGCTTTTTCTACAGTCAGAAGCTGCTTATTGTTGTGTTAGTGAATTAGGAGAACTCGGAAAGGTTCAGTTTCGTGATGTAAGTATTTGTGGGGCTGCTTCTTGATTACCATTGAACTGTATTTTTTTTGTCATGGCCAATTGCCTTATGATGAATGTTTTGTTTTTTTATTTGCAAGAATAACATTATAGCATGCTTACTGTTGGTACACTTTTTTGAGTTGTCTTTTTAGAGGAGAGAATGTTGTGGGCCAATCCTTTCATGTTTTTACTAGTTCCCCCTTTGAGAATAATCCTAAGCATTCTCAAGGTAATTGCTTGGAATGCAAATGGAAGACATAAAACTAACGTATTCAAGGCTTGCTCTTTACTTTTGGGCTCCTTAACACCCATAGCAGGGTATTAAAAATATTTTCATAGCTCTTCCATACAGTAGAACATATTTATTATAAGATCTGAAGCATCCAGTTATAGATATATAGTATATAAGTAAAGATATACTGAATAACCATTATTCTGAAACATTATGCTGGTAAGTTAGAGAAAATATCAAAGAAGATGGACAACGCTGGCTTAGTTGGTTGGAGTGTCATCCCATGCACCAGAAGGTCTTGAATTTGATTCCCTGTCAGGGCACATACCTAGGCTGCAGGATCAATCCCTGGTCAAGACACTTGTGGGAGGCAATTTATTGATGTCTCTCTTTCACATCAATGTTTCTTTCTCTCTCTCATAAATAAATAAATAAATAAATAAATAAATAAATAAATAAATAACTGACAATCTAAGAGTATAAAAAAGTATGCCCTATGGATGGGGCTTACAATGTGATAATAGGGAGTTAACAATTCCCTATTAGGCAGTCTCAAAGCTCCATGTACTTAACTCTCATAACTTTAATTGTAGTTGTGATTTTACATTCATAACTGTGAGTAGTTGATAAAATCTCTATCTTCTACTCTGATCTAAGTACTATGAAGACTACTCTGATCTAAGTACTATGAAGACAAAGACACTCATTATCTTATCCTTAGTGCCCACATAGAATATACTCAATCATTATATGTTGGAATGAATGGATGGATGAAAGAGGAGTGGTCATTGATAATGGCTTCCTGAAATTGGCAGACTTTCAGGAAGTTCTCAGTCTGAGCTAAAACTGCACAAATATAATCCAGTGACATAGTCTTATTCCTCATTCTCTTTGAACTTTGTTTTTTTTAATTGATTTTTAGAGAGAGTGTAAGGGAGAGGGAGAGAGATAGAAACCTCGGTGAGAGAGAACATTGATTGGCTGCCTCCTGCATGCCCCCCACTGGGGACTTGGCCCACAGCCTGGGCATGGTGCATGGGTCAATGCTCAGCCACAGAGCTACAGTGGCCGGGCTCTTTGAACCTTTTTATACCACCTCTTTTGGAGTGTTGTTCTCTTACCCTTTTGAGGACTTCTTGTTTTCTTTCACCAGCCTCTCCTTTATCTTCCCCACCCCTGCCCAAGCTCTCTTCTCTGCTGTCTCTGGATAAGCCTCTTCACACCCACATCCTCCTTTATCACTTTTTTTGGTGATCTCATCTATTCTCAAAATTTTCATCTTCATTTAGTGAGTCCAAAATCTATATCTCTGGCCCTGACCTCCCAAACACCTTTCCTACAACTCTCTAAGATTGTTGTCATCTCTACTTCTCAAGCTAGTATGTCTAAATCCCAACACCTTACCTTTTCACAAACTACTGTATTTCTTCATCCCAACTTCCTATACTTGAGCTAATAAATGCATTGATATTCTTCCAGTTTTCTAGACTTAAAACCTAAATCAAACCTAAGTCACCTTTAATTTGCAATCCTTCATCTGGTCCTATAGTGTCTCCCTTTCTATTTTTTTTTTTTATCCTCACCCGAGGACATTTTTTCTGTTCAGATAGAGTGGGAGGGAGAGAGAGGAGGAGAGAGAGAGAGAGAGAGAGAAAGAGAGAGAGAGAGAGAGAGAGAGAGAGAGAGAGAGAGAGAGAAACATCGATGTGAAAGGGACACATCGAGTGGCTGCCTCCCACACAACCCAACCAGGTCTGGGGACAAACTGCAACCAAGGTATGTGCCCTTAGCAGAAACCGAACCCAGGTCTCTCTGGACTGCAAGCTGACACTCTAACCACTGAGCCAAACCGGCACAGGCATGTCTCCCTTTCTAACACCCATTGGGTCCATTAGCATTCTTAACTTTTACTTATGATGTATTTCAATCATACAAAAAATTATAGGGAATAATATGATGAATACCTATATTTATACTATCTACTTAATAGATAAACATTCCACATATAATCGAATGCTCCTACCTTTCATTTCTTTCCCTCTTCCCCAGAGATAACTTTCTACAGTGACTTTTGCTTTTATCATTCCCATGTGTTTTTTTTTCTTTATTATTGTCGACAACATTATTCCCATGTGTTTTTATTTTTTACTTTTGCTATGTATGTATATATCACTAAATAATATGTAGTATAATTTTGTGTATTTTAAAACTATGTGCATGGTATCTTATTGAATTATTCTTCAGTAGGTACTTTTAAAATTTAACATTTGTAAGGTTTGACTATGTTGATACAGGTAGTGCTAGTTCATTTATTTAAATTGCTGTATAGTTATTGTAAGAATGTACAGTTTATCATTTTTTCATTCTGATGAACATTTAGGTTGATTGTAGTTCTTTGCTATTACAGTGTGGCAGTGAAGAGTCTTGTCTATGTCTCCTAATATACATCTGTGATTGTTTCTCCAGGGCAGTGGTTCTCAAACATTTTGGTCTAAAGGCTTCTTTACACTAAAAAAAAATTGAGAACCCTAAAAGGCTTCTATGGGAATTATAGCTATTCATACTTACTGAATTAGAAATTAAAACTGAGAAATGTTTAAAATATTTACTGCATCATTTAAAAATTATAATAAAAACCCACTACATGGTATCATAACATATCTGTGGAAAATAGCTATATTTTCCAAAAAAAAAAAAGAGAGAGAGAAGAATGGTATTGCTTTTATATTTTTGAAAATCTTTTAGTGTCTGAATTAATAGAAGATAGCTGGATTCTCATTTGCTTCTGCAGTCGGTCTGTTGTGATGTATGTCATGAGACTCTGGAAAACTTCACTGAACACTCATGAGACAATGAGAATGAAAAAGCAAATAATGTCTTACTGTTACTGTGAAAATGGTATTGATCACGTGGATCTGCTGCTAGTCCAGGGATTATAACTAGCAGGGGCATTGCCGAGTATAGTGTGCATCTTTGACTGTTGGATGTTGTCAAAGTGTACTTCACAGCGCATGTACCTGTTCATGCTCCCATGGCTGGTTGAGAGTTCTGTCATTCCATAATTGTGTCAGCATCTCTATGCTCAAAGAAATTTACCAATCCAATGGGTGTGAAGTGGTATCTTATTGTTGTTTTAATTTGCATTTTCTAGATTAGCACATTTTATATCTTTTTATCTGTTTTTTATACATAATGGGTTTCATTTTTCATGAATGTCTATCTGTTCATATTATCTGCCTGTTTTGCTATTGGGTTTGCTTGTCTTGCTTGTTAATTTGTAGGATTTGTAAAAGTTCTTCATGACTTCTGGAAGCTAATCTTTTTCTACTCCTTTACTGATAAGTTCTTCTAGACTGTTGCTTATCTTTTCCCTTTGTTTATACTATATTTTGGCATATATAAAATTTATTTTTCTTTTTTGCTTATTGGTTGTCTTTTTCCTAAATTTTTTATTTTGAAAAATTTCAAGCCTGAATACTCTTATGTGGACTCACCAGTTGTTAACATTTTGCTACATTTGGTATAATCTTTTTCACTGCACCTTTAGAGAGTAAGCTGTTTCTTCCTTTCAAATCCTTATCCTTTTCTTTCTTTTTCTCATTTTTTTTTTATCCTCACCTGAGGACATTTTTGCATTTATCTTTAGATAGAGCGGGAGGGAGAGAGGAGGGGATAGAGGGGAGAAGAGAGAGAGAGAAACATAGATGTGAGAGAGACACATCGACTGGTTGCCACCCACACAACCCCAACCAGGGCCAGGGACAAACCGCAACCGAGGTATGTGCCCTTAGTGGGAACCGAACCCAGGATTCTCTGGTCTGTGGGCTGACGATCTAGCCGCTGAGCCAAACTGGCCAGGGCTCTTTTTCTCATTTTACCATGCATATTGGGACCTTCAGTAACGTGTTGAAGAAAAGGAACAGCAAGCTAATACTGGTTAGGATTGTATTTAGCTGTATGTAACCAAAACCCCAAGTGATAGGGGCGTACTTTTCTCATGTAACATGAAGCCCCAGCTCCACAGTCATCAGTGTCCTAAGATCATTCTGTATCTCCCTTTGACCATCCTTGAACATTTGGCTCTTGTGCTTACAGATAACCACCTTAGCTCCAGGCATTTCACTGAAGGAAGTGTATAGGAGGAAAGGGAAATACTTTTATCAGGAGAAAAACAACTTTCCCAGAAATCCTCAGTATACTTTTTATTTATTTATTTTTGATATGTTTCATAGATTTTTTTTTTTTTTAGAGAGAGAGGAAGGGAATGGGAGAGAGAGATAGAAATATCGATGAGAAACATTTATTGGCTGCCTCCTGCACACTCCCTACTGGGGATCAAGCCTGCAACCTGGGCATGTGCCCTGACCAGAAATCAAACTGCCAAGCTCTTGGTCCATGAGTCGATCAATGCTCAACCACTGAGCCACACCTGCTGGGCTCTCAACATGCTTTTTAAATTTATTTTTGGTGCCATAATTATGGTGCACACTAGCTGCAAGGGAGTCTGGGAAATGTGATTTTTTTTTTTAACTGAGCAGCTGCTGCCATGAACAAAATTGGGATTTTTGTTACTAAGAAGGCAAAATGTTGTGTACTGTATCCATCACATGACATTCTTGTCTCGTTCCTGAGTTTAAGGGGAATTTTTTTAATGTTTCACAATTTTATTTTATTTTTTCTTTATTGGTTTTAGAGAGAGAAGAAGGGAGAGGGAGAGAGAGATAGAAACATTGATGAGAGAACATCGATTGGTCGCCTTCTGCATG